AAAATATAAATATTATCAATTTAATTTATTTTTAAGTAAAAAAATAATTCTATTATAAAATTTTTTAAAAATATACTGTTATATATATTTTTATTAAAATATAATACTAAAAAATAATTTTTAATGAGGATATTTTAGATTTTTTTTCAAAACGCCGGAAACCGCTATCAAAACGCAAGTTAGATGCTGCGATTAGAAAACATAAATTTGGCTGCGGTTGCGGGTGGTTGCGGTTCAACCAGTCAGTTTTTCAATCGTCTATAAACACCAAAAATCATAATCGCTCCATTTGCGGGTAGCGGCGGTGCAACTAGTCGCCCCAGAATTTCACTTTAAAAATCATAAAATCGTTTTTTTTCCTATCCACATATTTGTTAGTTGCAGCATGCTCCAGGGAGAACGAGGAAACAAATACAAAGTGCCAAACTCTGAGGAAAAAAAAAACATGCGCTTCTAATGGGAATCTAACTACTTTCAAATTCAAACGTGTATATCCGTTTCTGTTTTTTTTTTTTTATATGTCTGATCCTTTTATAAAATGTATAAAATTATTTCAATCCAGACAAAACAAAAACAACCTCCATTAACTTGGCAAGATATTAAACAACAGACACGTTTAAACCAACTTCGAACTATGATGAATACACATTTCTTTTGCAATTAAATGATTTAAAAATTAGTTTAATTTAATTTTAATTCAAATGCAATTTAAAATATTTAAAATTCTGAACAAAAGAAATTTTCTTTAAAAACTAAAATTGTTTTTAATAAAATCAGAATCTAATAATTATATTTAAACTCACCATAACAACGAAATATTTATTACTTTTTTTAAAATTTAAAAAAATTGCGAATAAAAAATAACAAAATCAAAATCCAAAATTTGGCTTCTTACCAAATACTCAACGTCACTTATATAATTACATGTTGACATATTTATGACTAAAAAGAATTCATAAATTCAAAATCAGTAGAAAATAATAATAACAGATCCTCCTAAAATCATTGTCTAAATATCTCTTCTTTGTTAAAATTTTAAATTATTTTTTTTCCTCTCTTCTTATATTAGTGTACGATTGAAAATTAATTTAGCTCTAATCTTAAATTTTAAATTCTAAACCCTTAATTTCAAATTCTTTAGGATTCAACATTGATTTATGATTTAATGTTTAGGATTTAGAGATTAAGATGTAATGTTTAGAGTTTAATTTATGATTTGATGGGTAGTATTTAGGATTAGAGATAAATTAGGAACAATAAAACCAAACGAAAAAAGATATACAAATTTATCAAATTGTTTGATAAAATGATTAGGAGACTACTTAATCTAAAAAAATAAAATAAAAGATGGGATATTGATCCGTAAACCACTCCCACCCACCGGGATGGTAATATCGGGGCCCTATTATAAAATTCATTTAATATTATATCATATCCACGTGATTTTAAACTTAAGAAATGAAAACTCCTTTTAATTAATTAAACCAACTTGCTAATTAAAATGTTATTTGATTTGGTCCTTTGGCACACTTTCCGATAAAATTTATGTAATGTGAAGATTATATTTATTATTTAAATCATAGCATTTTATTGTATTTGATTTCATTTTAAATTAATTTGGTTTTAAAAAAAAATATATAAACAATCAATTTTTGTAGATCTATTCAATTTAAAAATCCGATCGTTATATGAATAAATATATAGACTAATAGTTGTATAATAAATATATAGACTCAGAGGTCATGTGTCTGTGTTCTCATGATCCTTTCCTTGAGATTTTAAAATTAAGAAATGACTCAGACTCGTTAAATATATGTGCCAATTTGAGTAAAAAAACTCATGTTTGAAAAATTAAAAACCAGCTTGTGAATTTTAAATCTAATATCGCCAGCTGGCATTTTGGAATATATAAAAAATAATCAATAACAAAAATATTTAAATAATTTTTGTAGATAAAATTCCCGTGTTTTTTTATTGTGTTAAACCAAAAGTCCAAAACGATTGAATACACAATAATTTTTAAATATGTCAGTGGATTGAATATAAGTTGCTGACACTATGACTCAATAATGGTCCCCCATTATCTCTTCCTTTAATGCGAGAAAGATTTTTATAAATTAAAGCTTCTTATTTTATAAATAAACTACAAATATAATGACAATCATTAATGGAGAAGTCGTGCGTGTTCAAAATCACATCATTAACAAAAAAATATTCACACCCTTTCACATCTATTCAAACATTATAAAAAAAATAGAACAGAAACCATATAAAATTTTTAATTTGTAAAACGATAAAAAAATATTGCTAAACTTTTTATTCAACAAAATTTATTTTTAAATTTGTAAAGTATATCATTATAATTTTTAAACTTATAATATATATTATTTTTTGATAAAATATAAAATATATTATTATAATTCTCAAACTGATTTTTAAATCAATGTCATCCAAATTTTTTCTAATATCAATTAATAAATTTGAGAATTATAAAGATACATTTTACTAAATAAATTTATTAAGCGAAAAGTTTAGAAGTTTATTTGTTATCAAATTCAGAAATTTTTATGAATTTTATCTTAAAAAATCTAATATTTTTTATTTTAAAAAATCATTAAAAACTTATACTCTCCTTATCGCAATTTTAACTGTATATTTTTTTATTCTATTAAATTCTATATTACTATATTTAATAATAAAATACTTATACATAAAAAAATTAGTAACTAAATCTTTAAACACAAAAATTGACTAAAAAAATTAGTAAGTAAATCTTTATACACAAAAATTGACTATTCGACTGAGATGATAATAATTTTATCTTTCACACATCAACCACGTAAGATTTAATTATATTAAATATTAAAAATAATGAAAAATTATTAAAGTTATCAAAAATATTAATAAAAAACAAAATAATAAAGATATGCGAGAAGAACACACTATTTTTCGGTTTCTTTGTACCGGTTTCCATTTCCACGTGAGGAACGTGTCACTTTTAATGTAACGCACCGGCTGGATCTTCAGCCGGAGTAGTAAAGGAAATGACTTCATTGTCCCCTACGTCTCTGCAACTACAATTTCTCTAACCGAGCTTCCTCTTTCCCCTCTCTAATGGCGGATCAACTCTCTCGCTTCTTCTTCTTCCTCCTTAGCTCACTGGTTTTCACGCTCTCTCTTCTTCAACACCCAACTGCATGCCGAGCCCAGACTCTCTTCGTCTTCGGTGATGGTTTCTATGACGTCGGAAACAAGCAGTTCCTCTCCGGCAACCTCGTCTCGGCGAACGCTCCTCCGTACGGAGTTACTGTTGGAAAGGCCACCGGAAGGTGGTCCGACGGGCTTGTCGTGTCGGATTATCTAGGTTAGTTTCTGATTCTTGAACCGCGTAGAATTTTTAGGAATTCGGGAGTTGACTTTGGAGATGAGATGCTTGAAAACCCTAAAAAATCGATTTTTTTTTTTTTGCAGCTGGGTTCATGGGCATTCCTCGGATTTCTCCGATTCTCGATCCCAGGTCTGATTTGTCTCATGGAGCAAGCTTCGCCATCGCCGGAGCCACCGTTCTCGGCTCTCCACCGGAGACGGTAGGCTTTAACAGAAATAAGTTTCTCGAATTAATCTGCATGACGTTTCCATTCCTGTTTTCTGGGTTGGCTTAAAGATCCTAACTTTGATCTCGTAGAAGAAATTCGATTCATCTTTCCTCATCCCCTGTTGTACCAAATCTCATAGGAAATTTATCTCTGCAGAGTTTTCTTGACATTTTACTGTGTAGTAATAAATAGAATCGGACACAGGGAGTATGTAAATGTTGTGGTTTATGTCTTGATTCCAGAATCATTCCTTTTCACAGGGAAATTAGCAATTAGATATGAAGGATTTAAGATGAAACCGAACAGGGTCCAGTGTAGATCTCTTGGTATGGAATGTGTAAAAGAATATACATATATATATATATATGTGTATGTGTGTTAAATTACTCGTAAGTCTGTTCTTGAATGTGTTCTTAAGGAAAGGAGACTATCTTGGTTTAGGAATGCATAATATACGTTTTCCAAAACCCAATTTCAGATGACTCTTGGACAGCAAGTGAGGAAATTCTCTGAAAACAAGAACAAATGGACAGATGATGAAAGATCCAAAGCTATCTACTTGTTTTACATCGGGGGAGACGATTACCTGAACTTTGCCAAGAAGAACCCTAATCCCTCGGATGATCAGAAACAAGCTCTAAGTGATCAGATCATCACCGGCATTGAAGCAGCCATAAAGGTGAGAGCTTTGATACCTTTACCATCACTAACTAAACCAGCCATCTCTTGTTTCGGGAAAATCTGATGAATCGGGTTTCATGATAAAGGCTGTGTATGGAGATGGAGGAAGGAAATTCGCCCTGCAGAACCTCGCACCGTTAGGTTGCTTACCGGCGGTGAAACAAGAGAACGGAGAAGGCGATACATGCGTAAAATTACCTTCGGAATTGGCAGCTCTTCATAACAAGAAGCTGCTTCAGCTGTTGAGGAAGCTTGGACTCAAACTCAAGGGTTTCCAATATTCGTATTACGATTTCTTCCGATGTCGACAGTTCAACATGTATATATATATACTCGAAAATGCCTCGGGGGTTCATCGTGTTAAAATGATTTGTGATGTCGGTACAGCGTTTGAGAAGGGAAATGCTGCATGTTGTGGAAAGGGAGCTTATAACGGGACGGGCTGCGGAACTGACACAGTATGCTCCAAGCCACCAGAGTACGTATTCTTCGACGGGAAACACTTGACGAATGAGGCTAACTTTCAGATAGGACAGCTGATTTGGAGCTCAGACACAGAGGTCATAAGCCCTAACAATCTGAGGGAGCTTCTGGTTCTTCCTCTGGACATTCCTGTGATCTTCAATACAGCATCGAACACAACTGGATCTGGTGAGGAGGAGGAGGACACAAGGAGGGAAATCCATAAGATGTACGACATGGGTTCCTTGGAATGGGGAACTGAGAACCAGTGGCCGTACCAACTCGACAGTGTGAGATCGTTTACCGGCTGAGGATATATTGCATACACAAGTATGAAGAATAAGCTATATCGCGATGTGCCCTTTTTGTGAGTGATCAGTTGTGAAACACTTTGTTTGAATAAGTCCGGTTCCTATGTAACATTTTCGGGTCTGACAAAGGATCGAGGGTGGTATGCCATGTTACAGGTACTGGTTGTACGGCTAACGAGATGGTTATTGGTTACAGAGCATGTCGATTATTAGCACAGCATAGATCGTTGGATCGTGTTTGATGACCATAATCTACGTTTTAACAGAGTCTCAAGCCAGATTACGACGTAAATGAAGAACAACTCGCTGTAGTTGTCGAAGATTGGCTTGGGGGTCTTTTGCAGGAGACAGCTGTACAAAATCAAGAACGGTGTACTTGAATATGTGTGTGTATATATTCACGTACTATAAACTAAAATTTATTAAATTAAATATGGTAAATCATCAATACATTTGGATGCATGCTTGGCGCTTGGCAATTTTAACAGCGACACAGAGTAGGGGTGGGCGATTCGGTTCGGTTCCGTATCAAACAAAAAATTTCGGTATTTTTTATGGATCGTACTCTTCAAAATTTCCGAATGATATGATTTTTATAGAACCAAAATTTTCAAACCCCAACTTTATAAAATTTTCGAAAAATCGAAATTTTCTTAAAAAAAGTCTTAATTCTTTTTTTAAAAAACCGAAACCGAACCGTACCGAAACTGAATAATATACGGTAATAATTTGGTACAAATTTTAGAAACCGAATAAACCGTTCTCGAACCGAACCGCCAAAATTCTGACTCGAATACCGAAACGTCCATCCCTATTACATAGTATGAACTAGATACCTTACGGAACTATATAGATATACACATAGATGAACCAGCTACACTTACGGAGTATGGTTTTCTCTCGATCGGATACTGTTGTGCGGAAGCGTACCGGGTCTCAAATGTGAGACGATGGAATCGAACGAGAGAAAGTAAAAGACACCTGGATTTAACGTGGTTCGGCAGAATGCCTACGTCCACGGCGAGGAAGAACACAAACTTCACTATATCGGTGAACAAATGTGGAATACAACACACACTCAACCTCACTTCCCAATTTTCTAAGAACACCCTTTCTCTCGTAACACTCAGAAGAAGAAAATATTCAAACCGTATCCAAGAACCTCACCGAAACAAATTTCTTGGATACTAAGAAAGAAAACCCAAAACCCTCGAAAAGACCCAAATATTGGGTTTCTTGCTGAAGAAGAAAACTTCTTCTTCCACACTCCTTCTTCTCTTCTGAATGTTTTTGTTAGTGATTTGTGATACTTGAGAACATAACTTGCATGGCTATTTATAGGAGAAGTCACAGACGGATTTGTGGCGGAAGACAAAAGCCACCAAACCATTCACGTTGAATGGTGTTTGATTTTTTCAAATAAAAAATCAACCAATTGCCTTTGTCTGCCATCATCACCAATTTCCTTTGTTTGCCATCAACACCATAATTGAAGCCACCATTCACAGATACATACGAAATATGACATAAAATATATAATTACAAAATTAAAAAAAAAATTTGTTCATGAGATCCCCACACACGGAGCAGATACATCATTATTATTTTATTTTTCTTCATTGCATGGAAAAGATTACAACACGTACTAGCTCGACTCGATCGAGTTATTCCCTCTTCACGACAAAGCGCAGAAGATCAATTAGAAACCCTAACTGACATTTCTTAAAAAAGACAACGTCGGATGCATGCATGAGTTAGAACTCGAGCATGTTCATGCCTTTAGGGTAGACACTGTGCCATATACTCTGCTTCTGTTGTAGACAAAGCCACCGTAGACTGTAAAGTAGACTTCCAACTCACCGGAGCTTTCGCCAGTGCAAACACATATCCAGTCGTTGACCGTCGCTTATCCAAATCACCAGCATAGTCGGAATCAACATATCCAACCACACAGTGACCAAGTGATCCATCTTGTTGAAACACCAATCCAAAGTCCAAGGTCTTCAGAATATACCTCAGAATCCATTTCACTGTCTGCCAATGTCCTCTTCCAGGATTATGCATATACCTGCTCACCACTCCAACGGCATGTGAAATGTCGGGTCTCGTACACACCCTCCCATACATCAAGCTACCAACCGCATTTGCATACGGAACCTTCGCCATGTACTCATGTTCCTCATCTGTGGTAGGAGATAACGCCGAACTGAGCTTGAAATGAGGAGCAAGTGGTGTACTTACAGGTTTTGACTTTTCATCTAAGCCAAAACGTTGAAGTATTTTATTCAAATATTGTCTTTGTGACAAACAAAGCTTGCCCATCTTTCTGTCTCTGCTTATCTCCATCCCAAGAATCTTCTTCGCTTCTCCAAGATCCTTCATCTCAAACTCTTGATTCAATTGAGCCTTCAACTTTTCGATCTTCGACTGGCTCTTTGATGCGATCAACATATCATCCACATATAAGAGTAAGTAGATGAAAGATCCATCTGGTAACTTGTAGAAGTAGACACAGTGATCATACTTACTCCTTGTGTATCCTTGCCCGATTATGAACTTGTCAAATCGTTTGTACCACTGTCTGGGAGATTGCTTCAGTCCGTACAACGACTTGTTCAACTTGCAAACCCAATCTTCCTTACCAACAACGGTAAAACCTTCTGGCTGAGTCATATAGATTTCCTCCTCCAAATCCCCATGTAAGAACGCCGTCTTCACATCGAGTTGTGCTAGCTCCAAATCAAACTGAGCTACTAAGGCCAACAAAATCCGAATGGAGGTATGTTTCACAACTGGAGAAAATACCTCATTGTAGTCGATACCCTCCTTCTGAGCATAGCCTTTTGCTACCAATCTTGCCTTGTAGCGGACATAGCGTAGCCTTTAGCTACCAACCTTGCCTTGTAGCGGATATCAGTCTTGTCAGGAAATCCTTCTTTCTTTGCAAATACCCATTTGCACCCAATCGCCTTCTTTCCACTTGGTAACTTCACCAGCTTCCAGGTATTGTTCTTCCGGAGAGATTCCATCTCTTCCTCCATAGCTTTCTTCCACTTCTCACTTTCAGAACTCTTGACTACATCCTTGTAAGTGATAGGAGTATCAGCATCAATCACCGGAAGTGCAAAAGCCACCGCAGCATATCGAGCAGGCATTTTCAACGTTCTCGTCGGCTTTCGAAGTGCAATGGGAAGTTCCTTCTGAGGCTCTTGGGTGGAAACCTCATCGTCTTCAGAATTTTCAACATCCTCCTCTCCCATAGGAGGTTCTTCGTTTGCTGGAACAAACTTCGCAGTCTCAAACTCCACCTCCTGTGGACTACTCTCCACCTGCTGCTGAGTACCACCAACTTGCTTCTTCAACATGGTTAGCTCATCAAATGTGACATCCCTACTAACAATGATCTTCTTTGATTCAAGACACCAAACACGATATCCTTTCACCCCTGGTGAAATCCCCATGAACAGCGACTTCTTAGCTCTGGGATCCAACTTTGATTCCTTCACATGATAGTAAACAACTGAACCGAATATGTGTAAGGAATCATAATCATTAGCAGGTTTGCCATACCAAACTTCCATGGGTGTCTTGTCTCCAATTGCAGCAGATGGTAACCGGTTGATGAGATGACTCGCATACGTCACAGCCTCAGCCCAAAACCGTTTGTCTAATCCAGCATTAGACAACATACACCGAATCTTCTCCAGTAAAGTTCGGTTCATGCGTTCTGCCACCCCATTCTGTTGCGGATTATTTCGAACTGTGAAGTGTCTGACAATGCCATCATCTTGACAGATTTTGGCTAGTGGATCACTCATGTACTCTCTTCCATTGTCTGTTCGGAGACGCTTGATCTTCCTCCCAGTCTGGTTCTCCACCATATTTTTCCATTTAAGGAAA